AAATGAATACGAAAATAGCATGGATTGGCTAACACTAAATCAGACCTCATGATAATAACAAACTAAGTGACTCAACAAACGAGAATCGAGCACTAATTCAAACTAGAAATGCAGACGGTACACCGACTCGATTTCGAAGCCATTGATAGACGGGTAAGCTGTACCGGTGACTACCGGCTGCCAATGACGTGAAGGGATAGATAAAACTATAATGATCTCTTGATCCATGCGTACGATGATCTGTCACTGCATGCACGTGCAATTCAAATGTTATGTTGATGGCAATTTAACAAGGCCATATGCGATTCTTTGCACCTGTTTAAGTGAACCGCACAGTCAGCTTCTTGTGAAAGAGCGTTGCATGAAATGCAAATACGGCGTCGTGTATATATTTACATGTGTTGCACTAGATTAAGGCATCGAGGCGATGCCTCGCAAAAGGGGACCGTGGAAGCACGGTATCGCGGAGAACGCCATACTGCAGAAGTCTTCCAGCAACAAGTGCGAAACGAGATGCTATCAAGAATAGGTCATTAGGAAGTTGGTTCTTCTTGGCGGTGGTATCCAGATTTGCATAGTTTGCATCTCAAATGGGAATGTCCACGCCAGGACCGGAAGACCCAGCTACACACTCCCCGGTCTCTAAAGGTCAGGTCTCCATCACACATCTTCCGGGGCACAGCAAGCATTCGGAGCTCAAACAATCCCAGCAGCAACCTTTATAGTGATACCTGTGATAAAAATACCTGTTCTGATAGCGCATACATATGTAGGGCACTGCACAAAATACATGCTAACATTAAATAACTGCATTCCATTCATATGCAGTAGCCAATAGCGGAGTATTTAACGTAAGAGCCGTCCTCCGACTGCCACTCTATAAAAACGAATTTCGGAATCACACCATATCTTGTTTAGTTCAACCGGACAGAGCTCACAGTTGTGCCGAACCACAGATGAAGATTTAGAGTCCGAATCACCCAAACAAAATGGTGTCGCCGTCTAGACCGGTTACGCGGGAGCGAGAGCAATGATCGCGAGAGCGAGACTGCGAAATCAGATGTCTTCCTTACCACTTTGAACCTGTTTAAATCACTTTTTCAAATTACCTCAAATGACGTGAATAAATGGTCAGTAACATAACTTCCTAAAAATGCCGATTATGGAAGTGATCATACATAGCGTACACTGGACTCTCAATGCTTTCGGGATCATACTACGTGCCTAGTCTAGTCCAACGTCGCACAGCGTCGGACCAATTTCATACGTCAATCACGCGGGCATGACGCACACTCATGCTGCATGGGCATACTTGACACGGATATGATGCACACCCCCGTGAGTGTCCTGGGCTGTGTAAGGACACTAATGAGGGGACCTGTCGTGAACGGGGCTGTGTAAGGACACTGATGAGGGGACCTGTCGTGAAAGGGGCTGTGTAAGGACATTGATGACGGGACCTGTCGTGAACGGGGCTGTGTAAGGCCACTCATGGGGGGATCTGTCGTGAACGGCCTTGTGTAAGGACACTGATGAGGGGACCTGCCGTGAACAGGGCTGTGTAAGGACACTGATGAGGGGACCTGTCGTGAAAGGGGCTGTGTAAGGACACTGATGAGGGGACCTGTCGTGAACGGGGCTTAGTAAGGACACTGATGAGGAGACCTGTCGTAAGAGGGGCTGTGTACGGACACTGATGAGGGGATCTGTCGTGAACGGAGCTGTGTAAGGAAACTGATGAGAGGAACTGTCGTGAACGGGGCTGTGTAAGGACACTGATGAGGAGAGCTTTCGTGAACGTAGCCATGAGCGCAGCGTTTGGTGGCGGCATCACCAGCAGCACAACCGGAAGGCCTGGACCAACGGCCTGAGGGCATTCCACGTCGTCATCGCCGTGCAGCTGCGTGGCTACTTAATGGCAACAAGCCACACCGGGAGCTGAGCGACTACATGGAGTTATCCTGAGAGCACTCGACCGGGAGGACATGGGCAGGGTTCTTGGTAGAGATGCGGTGCACGGAAACGTCACAGAAACGATCGTAACAGGGGTCGTGACATTGAACATCAGCAGATGCAGATGCGTAATCGCTGCCACTTTAGCCCCGAGGTTCCCCATTGGGCGGTGTTTGTACAAGGTTTATCTACGGCTTTGCAGTAGACAGTCTCGTTTCAAGTCAAAATCCCTTTAATTGGGTTTTGACAGCTTTTGTGGAATCGCATTATGAGCCTACCAATATTTCCTTGTGTCATCGTGTGTTCTCCTCGAAATTAAGTTACAATAGCATAATTTGTTTTTTTTGGTTTTTTATTAGTTTGTTCATTCCTTGTCAATTGCATAATTTGCTAATTTGTTTAATCTTTTTTCTCCTGGATATAAAGCTACAGTAGGGTGATTCGTGAGCGAAGGAATCACATACTTGAACAGATGCGTGTCATTCATAGTGTGTCGCATCGCAGCGACGAGTTTCTGAGTGTCACAGCGTGTCACTCGTGGCGTGTCGCATTGCGTGGGCAAGTTTCTGAGTGTCATAGCGTGTCATTCATAGCGTGTCACATTGCGGCGACACGTTTCTGAGTGTGATAGCGTGTCACTCATAGTGTGTCACATTGCGGCGACGAGTTTCTGAGTATCATAGCGTGTCACTTATAGCGTGTCACAATGCGGCGACGGGTTTCTGAGTGTCATAACGTGTCACTCATAGTGTGTCACATTCCGGCGACGAGTTTCTGAGTGTCATAGCGTGTCACCCATGGCGTGTCGCATTACGGCGACGAGTTTCGGAGTGTCATAACGTGTCACTCATAGCGTGTCACATTGCGGCAACGAGTTTCTGAACGGAAACTATAGTACATCCGTTGGTACTTGTGTACCTTTATATACCTGATATACCAAAACCTTATGGTATTCTCAAAACATACGTCGTGCGTTTAGCGCGTCCTTCTATATTTTACTATTTATAAGACATGCATCTGCTGTGAGTTGTACTCTTATAATGAATACGAGAGGACAGAAAACACAGGCATCGCTCAATGGAAGTGATTTTAGTGATATAAATCAAGTTCAACGTTTGATTTTCGATTTGACTCTCATGTTGACGTCATGCATAAAAAATAACAGCAGAAATGGGCTCCCTGCCATCGAAGTTCTCTCTACAACGGTCTCACACGACCGTCTAGGTCGGCAAAGTAAAAGTTCGAGACTGGATTAGCATTCTGAATTCTGAGAAATGTGCAAAGATGCGCCAGCAGCAAGACAAGGAAATTTGGCCTCCTATCTACATTGAACTGGTTACATAGAAGATTTCCGCTACTCTTTCGTGGCAGCTGCCATTGCAGGGTCTCATATAAAAAGTACGAGGATGACAACTATTCCACACGTGCGCGGTCAGGTGGAAACGTTTTCTACAGCGCATGCGTCGTGTATGTAGCACATGTTTATATAACTACAGTATATAACACATGCTGCCTCCGTGAGTGGCACTCCTACAGTGAGTGGAAGAGGACACTGCACGACATGTATCGATCAATCGAGATTATTTTCGTCATTCGTAATCATCTTTTTTTTCTTTTTTTCTAGGCCGTTACCCAAGAACAGGTAACCAGGAGTGCCCTCCCTCAATCCCAGCGACGCAGTCAACCGTACGTTAACACCAGAAAACATAAAATCAAGTCGCGGCACTCCCAGCTAGGAAGATGAAACAAACTTTAAAAAAACAGGCGAGGAGGTGGAGCAGACCCGAGGGAATTGTGTTATGTGAGAGGTAGGGAAAAATCATAGATGAAAAGGCTTAAAGTAGTCATTAGCAAAAATCAGCTAATGACAGCCCGCTACAACCGCCCAATAATCTACAACCACTCAATTCCCCGTGTTAGTAAGGGTTATACAGTCACAAGTCGGAGGGGGCAATTACCTGGTCATTTTTGTGCTGGGTTTTGGGCTGGATTTCCAGGGAGTCCACCCAGCTAAGCAGAGCTTGTTGCTGGGAGAACTCCCGGAGCTAGTGCCATGAATTTGGGTATATGTGCATGACTTTATATCAGAAATTGATTATGAAACATGAAGGAGGTCAAACATGAAGTGCGTTGGATATGTACAGCACAAGGATGGCAATGTCTTCAACTATGTTTGTTACGTTAATATGTGTTCACGAAATGCTTGCGGATGATGTTCTTAACGATGGTTTTCGATACAGGGATATAAGCTATTCTTGGAAAATATACAACCATAATGTCGTTCCACAGCTTAGGGCCAAGGCATAATGCTGTAAATAGTCTATAACTACGATAAGAGAAAGGTTGTTCTAAATGTTTTGCTCGCCTCATATCCATGTCATTGGATTCGTAGAGATTGTAAATTAAATCGAATGATGCAGGGAGCTGCGAAGTTAAAAATTTGTGCATCACAAATAACATTTGAGATTTAGCAACCTTTGACCTTTGACCGGCACCTTGGCCATGAATTTGACCCATTCGTGAAAACAAAGTGCAGAAATAGACTCCCTGTCATGGAAAATCTGTCAAAAATGGTGTCAAACGACCTTCTAATCCATCGATAGTAGAAAAAACGTTGAATGCTCAGATACCCAAGTGGCTACTAAGCTAATTTGGATCTCCAAGCAGCATGGAACATATTTCCGTGAAAAAAGTCCGCGGTACTCCACACTGCGAGGTGTCAGCAAGGAAGCATCAAAATGGCAACTCGACTATTAACACCATTCAACATCCTAATTCAACGAGGTGACTAACGCAACGTTTTATCACAATCTGTCGGTACGTTCCATGTACTTACATTCTGAATACGTTGCACGGGCCATGTCGGCATTGTCTTCTACGCCCTTCCCTGTGTGACTAAGCAGTAATGGTACGTTCGTAAACAAAGGTTATGGCTGATGATTTCACCTTGTTCTTGCAAATGTCGCCAGGCATGACAGGCTTGTTTGTTGACCTTTGGAGGGGACGGGATGATTGACGTCCCCTCCGCTTCCTGGTCCGTTTTTGCCAGTATAAAAAGCGACCAAAGGAAACATAGGCATATTCTGTTGAGTCGTCTATCACCAACAATGCGTCTGCTGCCATTGATTGCCGTGCTTTGTCTGGTGTTTGTGACCACTGAAGGTGGGTTTCTGGCGTTTTTCATGTTTGCACTTCAGGCGGTCAAGTAGAAATGTATATGTGTGGTACCTCTTTGGAAGTGAATTATTACGTTTTTTAACTAAGAGGCCGGTCCATTTATGACCTGTTAATTACCATGCATTTTTTGAAAGTTGGTGTCGAATTTGGTTTTTGAATTTGTACATTCGGCTATCAACTCATTTGCATATTTGCCTGAAAGTAACGGTGGCTTTGCCAGGCAAAATTGGCAAGTATGTGCTAAGCGTTCTCGACCTGTGCTTTTCCCTATTTCCACCTATTTTAGCCAAACCATTCTGTCTTTATTTTCAGATGTTCAGCATCCCTAGATGTTTTCAAGGAACTGCACAATTTTATGCCTGCTTTATCAAAAATTTTCTATAAGTTTTAAGCTAGATACTTTGTTCATTACTTCCAAGTCGTTCCATCATACTGCACTACCAATTTTCACCCTTTTCAATGATTTTCCACCTTTGCCAAAGTAGATGCCACTAGTAGGTGAGAACGGCGGGGACAGCATGTCTCCCAAAATTAGCTGGTGGGCCTTCTACCCCGCTTTCAGATTTTCTGTAAGACCGATGGTGCAGGCGCCTTCACAAGAAAAACTGTCAGCTTTAAGTCTCGCTTCCTCACTTTTCTAGGTCCACTTTTCTTTTTTTACCATGTTATGTCAGGTAAGCTGGTATGCTAATGATGGGAGTATTTTGTAGCAAACTGTCCCGCAAACTGTGATCCGAATACGCATCTAGGCAAACTATCCAGCTGCTAAAATGACCCGTCTGAAGCTACTACTCATAGTAGCAGCTGCTATATTGGGCAGAATCGCTCCGGTCGACTGAACCACCCCAAGATGTCTTGTAGAGGCACCCCCGGCATGTGTACCAACCGGGTGGTGCGAAATCAACGGGATTATTAATATTATTGTTCCTATTAAGCCGGGCGTGTCTGATCTAGATATCAGTAAAAGGTGCAAAAGGGTGAGATGATCCATTGCAGACCCCCGAGGGATGTGTTCGTGAGGTATTGGGGAGGGGGGGGGGATGGGCAATCACACCTCAACCAACGCAGGAGAATCACATATTCCCTGTGGGCGGTCACGATTGTATGGTGCCAAAGCTTTGATCGTAAAAGAGCCTTTTTGTTCCCTTCAGCAACATACTAGACCGCTAGTCATATGCCAGATGTGCGTCCCCATTGTCAGCACTCCAGACCGTCGTGCAAACAGAAGCTATGTCGTGCTAAGTGACTCCTTGAGTTCTAGCACGTCAAATTTGTGGCAGGCTTCAACCGTATTGGTGAAGTAACCAACTCACGTATTGCAGGTGGAAGGTGTTACAGCTTCGGCCAGGCGTGCGGAAGATGGAACAGGGATGTCTGCCGCTGGTGCTGGAAACCTCACAAGCGTCTCTGCTGTCTTTGGGGCGACACCTTCAGTACGTTCCAGCCGTTGCCGCCCGGTGCTGAGCAAGCTTGTAGCCATGGTGATGTTGTGGCGCTATTGCCTACGAAACCCCAGCTCAAACTAGGGTCTTGTTCATGAACTGTTGTCATGCATCACATCGATAGCTTACATGTAAGGTCTTCCCTTACGAGATGTGCTATTTAGTTCTAACATACGCTCGGTTGTGTGTAAAGTTGCCCCGGATGCTTTGTTTCTTCAAAATGGATTGCGAACGGCACATCGTAGTCACACCGACCCTTGCATAGCCGTAGATAATTGCTATGCAAGAATTAGACGTGCCTTCCACAATAGCTTTTAAGGTCGCTGACCTATTGCAGGCTAAAATAGGGCCGTGGCTCTCAGCGAATGTCATTTCAAGAAATTCTTATATTTGAAGCGACGACGAAGTGTTTGACGAAGCCATTCATCTCTGAGATAGTTAATCGTGCCATAAACCAATTGCATTTATAAAACAACAACTTCCATTGAAGTCGGCCAGGTATGAATGTCAGGCCGAAGTCAGAAGTAGCGTTTTATGTTCGAGGGCTTGCTTCAAGAAATAGCTTCTGGAGCTCATTTCGAAGTTAGCAAAGACAGGGATTGCAACATACATGATCCATGAACATCTAAATGTCAGGTTGAGTCACTGACCTAAAATGACCAAGATTAATATTTTGTTGTTAGGAACGTATTCCTAGCGGAGACTTTGATGATTTTTCAAGTGCAAAAGGGTCAGTCTTGTGTATTTGCGTTTGTCATAACCTTATTAAGGTCAGACAAGGTCACTGAACTTATATTGTCTAGATGCAAAGCAGTTGCACGAAAGGGTCTGGGGATACTAATCTGAAGTTCGATCTTGTTGACCTCGTTTGACCACAAAGTCATGACCTGGGAACCTATAATTTTGACACAAGTGATTTCACATATAAGCAGCCCATTCTCTTTATTTGGTGTTTCCAGCTTTCATACTTTTGATATCACAGGGTGTCAAACTGACACCACCCGAGCGAAGGATGCTTAACCGGTCACATCGTCGTGTGTTAAAGATGCGATTTGTGTTTCGTTGTATTCATTTTCATATCAAAACATCATCGTATCAGATGCGTTTTGGCATCGAAGTCATAGGATACTCGCCATGAATAATACGTTCTTCTAGTTACGATAAATAACGAAATATTATTTCATGTCACACACCACTTACTTTGTAATATCCACCATGCACCAATTGTGACGACAAATCAACCCCTCATTTCAGAGGAATGCAGAAGAAAATGTCGCTTCCCCCGTCGATGCAGCACATTGGGAGGTAGCTGTAGCAAAGGATGGTGCTGTATTCGGTGCAAAGGAAAACGTTGCAAGGGTTAACTGCACCACCTACTGTCGGCTGCCGCTGTCATCACGGGATGGATAACGACTGCAGTGATGTTGATATATCGCTGCATGCACACGGTATTCCTATTTTATGTTGAAAGCACGTTTGCAAGATCGTGTTCGATTTCCTGCACGTGTTTATGCGAACCGGACAGGCAGCTTCTTACGAGAGGGTGTTACATTGAATACAATTACGGGATCGTGTATTTGTTTACATCTGTTGTGCAAGTTTGAAATGCAAGGCGACAGTTCGCAAATGGTGGCCATTGAAGCACGGAATCGCAGAGGACACCAGACTGCAGTTGTCATGTCACAGCAGGCACCAAGAGATATCACAGTCCCACAGACCCCGCCCACCCCGAAGAACCGCGCCTATGCTGTGAGCAGTTACAGGCACGTGGTGTCAATGCTTTGATCGTAAAATAACCTTTTGATTCTCCCGGGCAGCGTATTGGACCGCTAGCCATATGCCAGACTTGTGCCACAGTTTTCAACGTTTTAAGCTGTCGTCGAAATGAGCATGAAATCGTGGTGACCCCATGGGTTCTAGCACGTCAGAGCTATGACAGGTTTCAATTGTGAGTAGGTATTGATACCACTGATGTTATATATAACCCACTGATGCGTATTAGGTCAAAGGTGTTACGAATTCGACGAAGAGGGCGGGAAATGGAAACCAGTTGTCTGTCGCTTACGTTAAGCCCTCGCAAGCGTCTCCGGTGCCTCCTTGGGCGGTGACACCTTCAGCACGGTCCAGCCGTTGCTGAGCACGTGTGTTACCAAGGTGACGTAGTTTTAATCTTACGCACTGCGAAACTCTCGCTAAAGCGGGGGGTTGCCTGTGAGATGTTCATCTATTCTTGTCATCCATAGCGTCAATAGCTCACACGTCAGTCCTGCCTTTACCTGATGCGTCGATAGCTCACACGTCAGTCCTACCTTTACCTGATGCGTCGATAGCTCACACGTCAGTCCTGCGTTTACCTGATGCGTCGATAGCTCACACGTCAGTCCTGCCTTTACCTGATGCGTCAATAGCTCACACGTCAGTCCTGCCTTTACCTGATGCGTCGATAGCTCACACGTCAGTCCTGCCTTTACCTGATGCGTCGATAGCTCACACGTCAGTCCTGCCTTTTCGTGGTGCGTCGATAGCTCACACGTCAGTCCTGCCTTTACCTGATGCGTCGATAGCTCACACGTCAGTCCTGCCTTTACCTGATGTGTTGCTCAGTTTTCTTAACGATGCGATCTGCGTCTCGAGTGTGTTGATGTTCCTATCATTACCTGCTGATATTAGCAGCTGTTACGCGTTGAAATTGTAAGATGTTTACCATGAGTAATGCGCTTTCATATGCAGGATAACTGATGAAATATTCGTTGGCGTTACACACCAAATCTTTTCTGATATACGCCATGCACCAATCGTGAGGACTGATCACTCTTTCGTTTCAAACGAACACAGGGCAAAACGCCGTCGCGACTATTGATACAGCACATTGGGTGGTAACTGTAACAAAGGAAGGTGCTGCGTCATCCCGCGAAAATGACGTATAACACCATGTGAATGAAGCTAATGCTCTGCGATAGTTGCCTAAGCCTACGCGGAGTCACGTCCCAGCTAAGTTGCGATGCGGTTTGGACCTACGCTGCCCGGCAAAGTCCTGCTTTTCAACGTCTTTTGCTTTGTCTCTGTGAGGGTCTACATTCGTTATTTCAACGTGAAAGGGGGTTGTATTAACACATTATCCCATCCCTCTTGTATCCGTTTGCGTTATAAAGAAACAGCGAATGGGGGCGAGGGTCGAGACACGGCAGTGATGTGAGATGATCGCTATCACGCTGTATGACTGCACATGCATGGCAGTCGGCGATTTTGTGTCGTGAACAAATCTTTCACATGCTCACTTCATTGGGTTATGTGGTAGAAAATAGGTTGAACTTACTTCAAATTATGCGAAAAACCAGCTTAAGGAGCCAAAGTATGCGCTGAGATATACTGCATACCTAATAGTTGTAATGGCGTTGCTCCCTGCTACCACCGGACATGTTAGGCACAAGAGGCGCGGAGCATAGTTTCTTGTAATTTTGTAAGTTGTAGTTTTTGAAGCCTGGCTACTGACCACGAAACATGGTTTCAAATCGCCTGCGCGCTAAGTCAGATGGGATATGAAATGCAGAAAATTTGATAACGAGGCTGAAGTCTTTCTGCAAAAAGCGCATGCATCGCTTCGGACGTCTACAGGTCCAAGTGCTAAAGTTGATACGCTTGTGCATCGGACTCAAGTCGGGCAAAATGTGTTTGAACGTTAGCTGTTATAGTCAGAACAAACGTTTTGAGCGTTTCGTCTGGAATAGCCTTGACAACATTTTGATTCCTTAACACCGAATGCTCTCCACGCGCTGGATTTGGAGGCGGCCTTCCACTGAACTCTGAGCGCTTGAAATTCCCCCGACGCACCGGACACATCCGCCACCACGTGTGTTTTTTTCAGTCTGGGAGCGAGGTACTGACGCGAACACAGCCAAACGATCCTGCCTTGTCCGGTAACCTTCGCCAGCGCAGCACTCGCGGTACCGCATCCCACCCTCGCGGTGCAGGTACTGCACCCCACGTCCGCGTAAATTTCCTGGATCGGCTTAGCAACACCCTGTCAGCAGCGAGTGCAGCACAACCTGAAAGTGTTCACGTACGCGTTGAAGACGCGCATTCAACAGCCAAATCTGACTTTTCGCCAATAATCTTCCGTTGTTTCGACCACTTGTTATTTCAGTTCAGTTTCAGTTATATTTCAGTTCAAAAGCTCATACGAATGTGGGACATACCCTTCCATTGTGTACAGCCAGGTCCATCGAGGAAGGCGTCGTTTGCGGCGGGATTGTGTATATTCACCATCTCAGCCAGCACGACTGGCATGGCCAAGGTTCGGAATCTACTGAAAATTAGTAAAGGGTTGCCTGATGCGTTCAGTGCAACAGACACAATAACACGCGCTCTGACTTCTGAACGTCGACATATGAACCCGCTTACGTTTCTTAACATCCATAATTGTGTTTACATAACTAGAGTTTACGTATTTTTTAGTGCCGTGGCACTCATAATAATACCCAGAGTAGACATGAGTATATATGATTTCAAGATCACAAAAATTTATTCAACGGGACCGAATGAAATTCACATGAATCTGTTTGAAAAAAGTTAACGATATGACCTAGATCTCAGGCCTTTTATTTCAACTTTGCATTGTGCGCGTTCCCACCTATTAATTCTACCTTTATTCTACGGAAATCCCCTGTCATATGTCGTCTTTACAATACAGTAATGCCATAAAAGAGAGCGAGTACCTAAGTAGCCGTCCCCTGCCTCAGAGCATGGCGTGTATTTTACGTATTTTGTCATTTGTATCTCACCAAAATAAGGCAGGTGTATGTCGACTGGTATGCGGCTCCATTGCATTGGTAATCACTTAGCTTTCTTTCCAAATTGGCATTAGTGTTCATTTGGTGCGTTGCATCCACCAAGCGTAGCTTCAGCTCCGCGTGATATGCGGATCACGACCAACATAGCCCTGGGTAGTTCATCGGGCTCGACGCTACGTTGATATGCGCCGACCCCCGTAGCACCAGCACGGCTACAAATGTAATGTGAATGTTACAACGTCATGTCTGGTTGATCCTGCAGTGTGACAATAAAACACCGGCAACGAGCCTCGGCAGCCGGTTCATATATTGAGCAGAATCGTTCTGGTCGACTGGACCACCCCAAGATGTCCTGTACCAGCACCCCCGGCATTTGCACCAACCGGGTGGTGCGAAATCAACGGCTTATTAATTTTATTGTTCCTATCAAACCGGGCGTGTCTGATCTAGATATCAGTAAAAATGCAAAAAGGTAAGACGATCCTATTCAGACCTCCGAGAGATGTGTTCGTGAGGTATTAGGGGGGCAACCACACCTCAACCAACCCAAGAAAATCATGTATTCCCTGTGGGCAGTCACGGTTGTATGGTACCAAAACTTTGATCGTAAAAGAGCCCTTTGGGTTCCTTCAGCAGCGCATTAGGCCGCTAGCCATATGCCAGATCTGTACCCCAATTGTCAGCACTCCAGACCGTCGTGCATACAGGCGTTGTATCGTGCTAATTGAGTCATTGAGTTCTAGCACGTCAAAAGTGTGGCAGGCTTCAACCGGAAACAGAGGTAACCAACCGGTGCATTGCAGGTGGAAGGTGTCGCAAATTCGGCAAGGCGTGTGGAAAATGGAACAGGGATGTCTGCCGCTGGTGTTGGAGGCCTCACAAACGTCTCTGCTGTCTTCGGGGCGACACATACAGTACGTTCCATTCGTTGTCGCCTGGTGATGAGCAGACGTTGTCGCCATGGTGATGTGCGACGCTATGAACTACGAAACTTCAGTTCAAACTAGGGGTCGTTAGTAACATGTTCATAAACTGTTGTCATGCATCACATCGATAGCTCACATGTAAGGTCTTCCCTTACGAGATGTGCTGTTTAGTTCTAACATAAGCTCGGGTGTGTGTGAAGCTGCCCCGGATGCTATTTTTTTCAAAATGGATTGCGAGCGGCGCGGCGTGGTCACACAGAACTTTGCATAGCTGTAAGCATTTAAAGGCTGGATCTTGTGCTATGCAAGATTTAGGCGTACTTTGCAAGGTCACTGACTCATTGAAGGCCCAAATTAGACCGTAGCTCTCAGCGAAGTCTATTTCTAGGAGTGGTGCATTTCTGAACCACTGTGGACTTGTGCTACACAAAACCCCAGCTAAAGCGGAGGTTGACTGTGAGATGCTTATCAACTCATGTCATACATGGCGTCGATCGCTCGCCCATCAGGCTTTCTCTCACGAAATGCGCTCTCCAGGTTTCTTAGAGATGCAATATGCATTTCGAGCATTGCATATGCTCATGTTAGCAGTTTTTTTTTAGTCATTGGATGGTTGTCATAAATGGCACGCTTCTGCATTTCACATTGGCTGACGTTATGTTCGTCGAAGCTACATCACCATGCTGGAGAAGATTTAACATCCACAAATCCTTGCGAGCGACCGTTCTCTAATTTCAGGTGAATGCGGGAGAAAATGCAGTTTCCCAAATACCTGCAGCACACTAAACGGCAACTGTCAAAAAGGATGGTGCTGTGTCTTCTGCAAAGGAAAACATTGCAAGAAAGGCTAGCTGCACC